GTAGTCAACAGTTCAGTTGACAAAAATCTGGCCGGCACCGCCGGTCTTGCCCAGTTAACAAACCGCCCCTGCCTAAACCTATATATGTCCATGAAACGGAAGGTGGGATAATGCTCTCCATCCTTCTCTTTGCTCTGCGTGAGGGGCAGTCTCACCAAATATCCGGTTGTCTAGACTGTCTTTTACAAGCTGTGTAGGTTGCAGCGAGAATTTCCTTTACTCAAGCTTTACCTATCGTCGGCATGTTTGATGGATTGAAATGTGGGTTTAGAAGAAATGACTGGGCATTTTTACATCTATTTTATATATGGTAAAAAATCTGTCAATATGATGAAATTGTGCATTTGAGTGCATTAAGGCGGAAACTACTGTAATCTAAATTATTTGGCTGGGTACGTAATTCATCTACAATTGTAATGCTAGTAGCTCATGTGCTGGGCTGTAATGGAGACAATTCTTTGTGAGTTGTGATGCTCTGACACATTGTGCTTGTACTGGGAAGTTGAGAGATTCTTCACAGCCAGTCCTATCTGTCCAGCCTGTTAAATAGCCTTGCAGTGCTTAAAAATGGCCATAAGCTCATATCATACAGTACCACACTCAAATGGCTGAATGTACATATGGAAGGGAACCCAGTTGATTATTTTATTCGAGAAAAGATTCAAGGGGGGTGATCCCCCCTGGGTCGGTGCCACTGACTGAAGTGTCTTTAGGCCATTCCCAAAGGGGGGACACTTCTTGTTCTTATGCACAGTAGAATTGTAAATGGACTGATTCAGATTCAGCAATGTCATGCTCATAACTGTGCCTGAACTGCAACAGGGAACTGCTGCTTTTTCTTTCCTTACTATCGTCATTTTTCCTCTACTTGTGTTTGTCGCACTCTTGTGACCCGCTATTTCCGGGGTGCCTTGATAGTAGTAGCAGACTTTGTGCTGTTGAAGCTAGAGAGGTGAGCAGAGTAAGCCCGATTCCTTGTAAAGACTTCTCTGTGTTGACATCCACCCCTTGGCGTTCATATGACATTATGCTGTTGCGAGCGCGTAAAACCTTTACTAAAATGAAACAAATGGGTGTGTGGGGGGGTCGTTTTTAATAGTGATTCTTTCCTCCATTCTATATTACATGACAGGAATGTATGTGTTTTTTGTGGGTTTTTTTGGTCCTGCAGTTTGTTCGTTTTTCACTCCCTTTTGCCCAGGATTTTGTAATAATAGTACATCAAGTATCTCTGAGATGAGGAAGTCGGATAAGTATAATTAAACCAGGGGGATAAGTGCTTGTGTGGCGTGCTGATTATTCTTTTTCTCCAGTTCTGTGCTTTTTATTGAGCCTAACATGGTGTGTTGACTAGCGTCTGTGGTGTAAGTGCTTTGCACTTATGTCTGTTTGTGGAAAAAGTGCTTTACAGTTGCCTGCGGGTATGAATTTGATTTCCATGTCAGGAGTTTAAAAATTATTTTTTTTATTGAATATCCTTGTCTGTCTACTCGGACATTGTCCTCATCTCAGCAAGGTTTGGTCCAGAGAGCAATGTTGAAGCAGCTTCTCTCCTAAATTATCCTAATTAATTATGTCATTGGGGCCATTAAACACTTACAATTACAATTTCAGGCACAGGGTCGACTGAAGGAAGCTCTAGATAAACAGAAACATGATCTGAGCTCTTACATGCAGGAAGTCCTTGGCCTGGAGGACTAGTCTGAGAACTGATAGGAGCAAGAAATTGGAGATTGAAAACTTCAAGTACTTCCAACAAGTTTTCATTTACTCCATGTAAGTGGAGGATACAAGTACTTCCTACAAGTTTTCATTTACTGAAATGTATTTTCCTACAAATTTTCTTTTACCCAGTGTGAATGCAGGGTACAAACTACACTTTATTTTTTAATGTTTGGTCCTTGTGCTTTGATATTTTATGTCATTGTAATTGATCATAGGTGTGCACTTTTTCTTTTGTACTTGTACACAAAGATTGCTGTGTCAGGATGTTTCTTATTAAGCTTTATGTTTTGGGTTTTTTCTCCTTTGAGCTAGAAACTTTAATGTTGTGTGGAAAAGTTAATCCTTGAGTCATCGCAAGCATAGTAAAATAGATAGCTATTTGACTCAATTCCCTCCTCCATGAATCGAGGGGTGCTCAAAATATTTTGCTATTTCTTTATGGAATGACTTTGGAGTCCGATGGTAGGCCTATATTGTGTATTCATTGCAGCAAACTTCTACTTCGTCATTATGAGGGAGGTGTTTGTTTGTTGGCTTTGTGTGTGTAATTTGGAATGTATGCACTTTTAGATATTTACCTCAACAGTACCTCGACTGTTTACAGGAGCCTCTGGTCATGTAAAGGATGCAAAGATTTTGTTTTAGTTGTCTTTTTGTGCCATGAATTCAGGTTGTAAGCATTCAAGTGTCCTGATCTTTTTTGGTAAAAGTTTGCCTTTTAGTGCATTGGAAGAGTGTAGTATTTCAATTTATGATATAAGAAGTGGGTTGAGGTTAGGTGGAATTATTGATGAAGAAAGCAGAATCTGATTGGATGAAGCAGTTTAACACAAAATTACCACAGGATTTCATAACCCTGTATTTGTTTTTCCTTTTTTTTTTAAATTCTGTGCCCTGCAATTTCCTTTAACATGAAATTTGCTTCATGAAGAAATACTTTGACCCTGAGGTGTTTGTATTAGAAGGGCTGTAGTGTAGGCCTATATTTTGGTTCTGCCTGTCTTTGCCAGTCTTTGCCTTGTGCTAAGTTTTGCTTCCATGGACATTTTTGGCAAGGTTTCTGTTCTGAAATTGCTTGTACCTGCTATTGGTTGTTTTTTTATCTTTGTTGTCTTAGAACTGATTTCTTTTTTGTGAATTGTACATTAATGCTCATGTCTTCTTTTGTGTGTGTGTGTGGGGGGGGGGAGGGGGTTGTTTTTGGGGATATTTTTTTAATTTTTTGCTTTGATATTTAATTTATGTTTAGTGAAAAGATTGAAACGATGGCTAGGAAACCCTGTGGTGAAATGTCTCTTTTGTGATACTTGTATGCATGTTAACTTGACTGTTTCTAATATTTCAATAACTAACCTTGTTTTACTGACTCTCCAGTGAGATAATGTTTTACTACCACGAAGTACTGTCACTATTACGTTGGTCTGGTCATCTTCTTAACATTGCAGCCATATAAGTGATTATGGTTAAGATTTTTAAATTTCCAGTCTTTATAATTTTTGCAAAAAAATATGTCTTGTTGCCATATAAGACAAGCTAAAATCTCCTGTGAGATATATTACCGTGTGATTTAATTTTCAATTTTGGATAAATCTGTTACTTCACAACAAACTAATTTTTTTACGCACATGAGTTGATTTTGTCAACATTTTTTTATGGTTACAGTAAAAGAACTTTGAACTGCTGACAAGTTTTGCCGTAATTTAATATCTTTACTGATGTAATTTTTAAAGTGAAAACAATGATTATATGGAACTCTAGAATCAAGCAAATAAGTTTTGTGCAATATTATTTTTCCTGAAAGAAACAGCCAGTTGTCAGTTATAATCAAAACCACGTTATGCTGGTATCGTACCGAGAGCCGCCAAGTAAACTATGGTAAGTCATGTTTTTCAAATTCTACAGTAGAGACCAAAAACGGATTTTCTTTGCGTTTTGAGTGGATAAACTTCATTTTCACAATGGCCACTTGCTGGCCCTCGATACGGACTCCCAATGAAAGTGCTGTCCCAATTTTGACCGTAGCACATTTTAGCTATGAAAGTTGTACATAGCAGAACACTGAAAAAGACTGATTTTTATGTTTTTTGTCCTGATAAACTATCCAATTGTGTGTTCTCCTGTGAAATCTGATGATCACACATTTACAAAGAGATATGGTACCAAACTATTTTTAAGAATTACCTCACGAAGCCCATGCTTCTTTTATTATTGGAAAGGCTTAAAGTGTCATAACATTATGTCAATATACTACGTCGTATGATTCATGTTCCCTACTCTTTTTAAAAAGCAAGTATTTTAGAATAACCTCACTTAAGTCCTTTTATTACTGGAAAAGCTTGATGAAGGTCGTATCACATGATCTCAATATACTTAGAGTTAGAGATAATATTATGTCTATACTTTTTTTAAAAAGGTAATTTTTTAGAATTGCAAAACTTAAGAATATGTCCCCCTCGTTTTCTTAGGTAAGAATTCCATGGTGTATCAAAGGAGTCCAAAAATTGGGTCAAGATTTTACATGCATAATAATTCCCCCAATGCCACGTTTAATAGATTAAGATGTTTTTAACATTGGAGGAGGGGGGTGTTGTTTTCTTCTTTTTCTCTGCCATAGTCTGCTGTCTAAGTGTATAGATTTGACACATCTATCAACACTATTAGGTTGAATAAAAGGTAGGACCTCCAAATTCAACGTCTGTCATGAATAGGATAGGACGGAGCCAAATTGTTTGAGAGCCTTGAAACTCCACAACATGACCCGCGATCAAGAATGCCCAGCCTGGGATTCGAACCAGAGCCATCGGCTCAATAGGCCAGCATGATGCCAACTTGGCTGATGGACAGCCCTTTCTGTAACCATTGTGACCTTAAAATAATTTAGCAAAATGCCAAGAAGCTGTCACACAGTGTGTAATTTCTGTAGATGAGTAGACGCCTGACACACATAGGGACAGTATTGGATGTGATGCTTTATGAGACGGTAGACTACCCTCAGGCAACTTTAGTTTGCAGCCTGACTAGAGCTGCTGTTGAACACTTATGTGACCTATTCAATAGACACATCCTAGTCTTACGCTATTGTCCTTTGGCTTTAAATGGAGAGGTCATTGGCCTGCACTCAATTCCATGTCCCCCCCCCTCTCTCTCTCTCTCTCTCTCTCTCTCTCTCTCCGAAATTACTTACTTACTTACTCTCTCTTCGTACATTTAGGTACATGAGGTGGAGAAGAGTCAACGCCACGCTCGCTTGCCCTGCCAACGTCCTCCAATTTGGGCAAATCCAGGCCCTGGGTGATTGCCTCATCCCTTATTGTGCCAGTTGGTCTTCTTTATTTTCTTTTTCCAGTTGGTCTCCAATACCATGTCTGATTGGGCAATCTAGTCTTTTGCATTCTTTGAACATTCTCTAAAATTAGTGGTCTTGTTAATCAGACCTATCCTCACCGACGCCAATTTTTGCACAGCTTCTGATTGGGGCATTTGTAGCGTGTACCTCTAATGATCTGATTGCAGGCAGTATAGCAGGGCAATTGTACGTTAGTCGATTTAAGGATGATGCAAGTCAGGTAGTTGGCTGATGGCGCATGGCGATATGAATGCACTTATACTATATATATATCTATATTGGCGTTCCTTTTCATACATTGACGAAAGCTGGTCGTTACAGTGTTAGCAGTGCTGGGGGTATCAAGAGGGATGCTTTGATGAGGGGTTTTGACTGCGTTTATTTACTCTTGATATACTATAGGGTTTTCTTTGTTGTGAGCAGCGTGGGGAGGTTCAAACTGCTTGATTTTTAAAAAAGCATCAAGCAATGATACACATGATAGCGCAAGTAACTTTCTCATTTTACTTCATGGAAGCATAAATATATATGGAAATACAAGTAACAGCTTGTTTGTTGCGTCATCTGTGTACATTTTTGCCTTCTCTCTGAGTCTGAGCAATACATTTATCATGCTTGCATGTTTTTGGTTGGTGCGTTTGTTGTATTCACCAATGTACTTACCATGTACTGTCGTTTTCCCTTATTGGCCATGACAGAACAGCAGTAAGGTGTGTTGAATAGAATATGTTGGGCTGGATGATAGCTGCGGATCTAGCTATATTTTTAACATGTTTGTTGTTACCTCTGCAATTATTAAGAAGAATAATGAGTATTTTCATTTGTTTTGGGTTTTTTTAAGTGGACTTCATTGTAGGACCACAATGAGTTTATTTTGTATGTCTTTAACTTTAATATTGCTCAACTATACATGAACATAATAATAGTAAATTAGATTTTATGTACCGTACTTAAATTCTGTTTGGATTGACAATAAATGCATTATTACATGTTTATGTGAATGAAGTTAATTGTTACTTTTAACAGATTATAGTATGTGTGTTGGTAGAGAGACAAATATATTTCTTCTGAAACATGACTTTTTTAAACTTTTAGAATATAATGTGTACCGTACATGATATGTTTGACAAGTCTCATAAGCTTACTTCCTATAATTGCCAGTAGCAAAACCCTGAGGTGAGAGAAATTATGAACTTTCTTAAACTCTGCATAATATTTAATGCATTTACTTCTTAAAACGAAGAAATGTGGGCTAATCTAAAATGTGAAATGTGTTGGAGAATGTTCTATTCATTTGTTGTCCTATCTAGCTGCTTTCATAAGTAGTTTATTGATGTAATGAAGACCTTATAGATCAGTCACAAGTTATAAATATACAACTCTATCGTTTGGTTATTACAGAAAATTTGGGACTGTGTCTAGCATGTAGGCCTAATGGTGTTTTTGATAAGTGTATTTTATATGTTTAATTTTTTCTCTGACAAGTTTTGTTTTTCGTATTTTGCTGTCTTGTCTAACTTGAAAAAATGTGTGCCTTTTTTCTGTCCAAAAAATCAAGGGCTAATTGGGGCCATACCAGCATGTTTGTTGTAGTAACATTTGTTGATTTAGACACTTTTTCATGGCATGACGAAAACATAAGGTTTGTTTCCTGAGTGTAACTTTTCTTTTTTGAGTATCTCTCTCTGTCTGCTAGGACATTGTATCTTTCTCAGCTCAGACTTGCCGTGGCAGGCAGGGCAAGGAACAGCCAGTCTATTTAACAATTACAATGACACATTTCAGGGGCAATACCACCACATTTGCAGCTAATATACCAGTGAGTGCCATTTTCTTTCAAATGGGTTCAGCGTCCTGCTCAACACTTCAGTTATGATAGTTGACTTCCGCAGAATGGCTTTTTTGTTTTCTTGTATGATTATGTAAGTCTTTGTGTTTTATATTCCAGTTTCTATTATTTGTATTTTTTATGACCGTTTTTGTGAAAAACTGATATATTAATAATAATAATAGATAAATAAATTACATTTTTATTGCTTCCCGTAGGGCAATTTGGGTTACAATGGCAAACATACATATAACATAAATACATAAAATTATAAATACATACATACATAAATATATTCATTTATACATACATAAAAATACAATATCACACCACTACTGAACAATTTCACAAACATGCCATTTCTTGTTGCCACTGTGCTGCATCCTGTTTTTTTTGTGTTTTTTTATCTTGGGTTGTCATGTCTTGCTCAAGGACACTCCCCAGTGGCCACCCACCTAGACCCTATGTCCCCGACACTTGCTTAATATTACTTTTTTGAGTCTGAACTCACTTATCCACTTAGCTTAGATCTATGTGAATGTATTTTGCAATAATTTCATGTACTGCGTGTATTTTATGTTTCACTCATTTGGTCCAAACTCTGATGCATCACTTTTTTCAGAACTGAATTCCGTTTTCTTCACCAGTGTCATCCTTAGAAGATGTCAAAATCTGGTTCAGATTGATTCAAAGAAGAACAAAAATTGCCAAGAGCAAAATTTTAAATGCAAAAAAAAACCCAGTCATGATGTTTAGACAATTTTTTTTTCGTGCAAACTACCATCTCTTGAAACAAGTGTCAGAAACACAGAAAGTAATTCAATTTGGGATTCAGATCGTTACTTTTTGCATGTAAAAACTCTTTTCCACTTACGGGATTTCAAATGTATAAGACTGGGTACAAACTACTGTTCCAGATGATAGGAATTTTTGTTGACACTTGGTCTCTATTATTATTATAATATACGTGGATATGTTTATAAGTGTGTCGTTATTATTATTATAATATACATGGATATGTTTATAAGTGTCACTGCTTTTTCTTTGTCTTGATTTTGTACTCATTGCAGATGAAGTCATTGCTAGTTATTCCTATTTTCAGTCATCAATTTTTGTGTGTGCAGACTTTGGTCTATCTTGCCTCTTAAATAATCTAAAGTATGTTGGTAGAGGCGTTAAACCTATACTATTTCACCATTTTGGTCTATCTTGTCCCTGGCTTTCACATTGGGAGCACCTTCCGGGGATTCGTAAGAGAACTTGGACCTGGACCAAAAAAGCAGAGCCTGAGGTGACAGGACTAATCATGATGCTCTTAAACCGACATTGAAATGACAGCCAGCAAAAACTGGTTTGGAGAAGATCGATGAGAATAACAAACTTAAGTTATTGACCTAACTGCCTTCGCTGTAGATCTAGCATAATAACATGCATTATGGTGTTTTTTATTCAGAAACGATGGTTTCCACGGATTTTGTAGATTTTTCAAACTGCACTGCTTTTTTAAATAGATTTTTGTAGAGAATGATCTCGTGTTTACTCTGTGTGTCTCTGATTTACATTTTCGCCTGTTCCAAAAATCACTTCATAGAAAGGCTGCATGCGAGCAGGAGGTACAACCCTACTACATCTACTGTCAACTCCACTTTAGTTGGCCTTCGATTAAATTGAACATTTTCTCGGGTCCCAGCACCTTTTGTTCTTCACAGCTCCCAATGGTTATAATGTTGAACTTCGGACGAGTTGATCTATTTTTCACTTCCCTGACCACATCAACTCACGCGTAGTGGCCTAGTTGACTGTAATAACTCAACAATCCCTATGAAGTTCTCTCTGTTCGCAGGTGGGTGGAGGGTGCCACGGAGTCCTACTTCTTTTTACCTTCATGTGTCTTCCTTTTTTTCAGTTCCAAAAGATCGATATTGTGTCGATTCTCTGTTCAGATGTGCCGGTACTGGCGTCTGTGGTAAAGCATTTTTTTTTTACCTCTTTGCAGTAGATCTAACATACAGAAGATGCCCACATGGTTTGTTTTGTTTTTGTTTTTGTTTTTTCAAATCAATTATCTTCTTCTTTTTCTTCTGGCTGGCCTCCGTTAGGAGGGGGGCGGCAGTCTGCCGCAGGCAGACAGGTAAGCGGCAACCTCTTGTGGCCTCGTCCAGAGCACTTCCGGGCCCGGTCTCGCATTGTTCTCCATAAGTGGGCCTCGATGTGCTTCCCCCTGCGGACACTCATACAGTGCGTGCTGCAGGTCGTCAGGACTTGTGCCACACGCCAGACAGGAATCATCTGTCTATCTACTAAGTCTTTACTGTACTACTATCTGCTGTGGCCTGACAAGCAGGCTCGAAGCTGCTCGCCTCCTAAATTAGTTTAATAGTGTCGATTGAGGCGTTAGACAACTGTTGCAAAAAAGCAGACTGGGACGGGTTTGCCAATCAATGTTCCCAGATTCTTAATCCCAATTTCGACCACAACTACAATAAATTCCACGAAAAGCTTTTAGAAATATGCCACAAACACATACCAAAAACAAAAACAAAACCCCGAAGGAACAAGATCTGGTTCTCTTGGGAATGTGAGGACGCAGTAAAGAAAAAGAAGGCAGCGTATCGAAAAGCCGTAAACAACACCACCATAGAAAACAATTTAAGATCAATTATTTAAAGGCTCGAGCTGTGGCACGTAGATGCCTCAGGGAGAGCAAAAGACAATCATTCCAAAAATACATCTCCAAAATCAACAGCCAGACACCACTCAACCAAGTTTTTAAAATTGCTAAAAAATTCTTAGGTAGACGTACAGACACCATTCGGCACGTCCAGAGGCCGGATGGAACCACAGCTGTAACACAAGTAGACATCGCAAACACAATAGCTACATCTCTCGCCAAAAACTCATCCCAAGCTAACTACAACACCACTTTTCAAAACATCAAAACTAACAGAGAAAAACAACACATAAACTTCCACTCAAACAACACTGAAACTGAAACATACAACGCAGACTTCACAATAGACGAACTAACATTGTGCATCTCGGACCTGGGCGATACAGCCCCGGGACCGGATGACATCCACAACCAGATCGTTAGACACTTACCCTCAGAAACACTCACACTCCTACTATACATATACAACATGTGGCGGTCGCACTCCTTTCCGGAGTCTTGGCGTCTCGCCACTGTCATTCCAATACCCAAACCAAACAAGGACCACACACACCCATCCAATTACAGACCAATAGCACTAACGAGCTGTCTCTGCAAACTAATTGAAAAAATGATCCACAGGCGACTCATGTGGTTTCTGGAAACGACGGGCTCGTGGAGCGATCTCCAGTGCGGATTCAGGAAAACTCGATCCACTCTGGATCACCTGGTCCGCCTGGAGACCTTTATACGCGAGACGTTCGCTGAAAGAGGCCACAGAATCGCCATCTTTTTTTTACCTAGAAAAAGCCTTCGACACAACCTGAAAGTACGGCATTCTCAGAGACCTGCACGCTCTCGGCAAACACGGTCACCTCCCTGCCTTCATTGGCAACTTCCTGAAGAACCGTTCCTTCCAGGTTCGTGTCGGATCCTCCCTTTCAGACCCCCACCAACAGGAGGAAGGAGTCCCCCAGGGGAGCATCCTTACTCCTCTCCTATTTGGAATTAAAATAAATTCCATAAAGAAAAGCCTCCAAAACAGCATAGACAGCTCGTTATACGTTGGCGACTTTTTGATATGCTGCCGTTCGAAAAATCCTCATTTAAGATCTATGGAAAGGCAGCTGCAAACGCAGCTGCACAAGCTCGAAACGTGGGCAAACAATAACGGTTTCAAGTTCTCCCCGTCAAAGACGGTTGCAGTACACTTCTCCAGGCCGAGGCCAACATACCACCACTCTCACTCAGACGCACACAACTCTCACAACAATACACAGTTAAACAGAGCTCAACACCGGAAAATCCAGCGTACAACAGCATTTTTAAAACAAACCCAGAAACCATAAACAAATTCCAAAACAACGAACAACTCATCAAACCCTTCGGCCTCAGAATCCTTGAGGACCTCAAAAACTTACACTTTTCCAAACAAGACATCCAACAAATTCTTTTCCCCGACCTCCCTCCGTTGTACCTCATCAAGGCAAAAGTAGACTTACAGCTGACCACGCACAACAAAGAAAGCACAAACACCAAAACTTTTAAAGCAGAATACAAAAAATTAATAGATAAATACCCCGGTGCGGAGCTCATCTTCACGGACGGCTCCAAAAAAGACAATGAAGTGGGCGCCGCAGCCCTATCTCCCAACAATACACACCAGAGGAGACTCCATCCTGAAGCCTCCATTTTCACTGCGGAGGCCACTGCCATTGACATGGCACTGGACTCTGTAGAAAATTCTCCTAACAAATCTTTCCTTCCTTTCTGACTCTCTGTCTTGCATCACCTCACTCACAAACTACACACTGTTACATCCAAAAATAGTTAGGCTACAACAGAAAATTCATACACTATCCGAAACAGGAAAAAACATCATGTTCGCATGGATACCCAGCCATGTGGGCATCCGAGGAAACGAGCAGGTAGACGATAGACGACCTGGCGAAGAAAGCTTCATCCCTTCTGCTGGGATCAACGACAAACACTCTTCCATAGACTGACTTTAGAAATAAAGTCAAAAAGTACACCTTCAGTCTGTGGGAGAGCCGCTGGGAAAACCAGAAAAATAATAAACTATATGAAATAAAACCCAAACTAGAACAGCGAAATCCTTCGGACCTCTCCAGAAGAGACGAAGTCATTTTTTACTCGATTGCGCATCGGACACACGGCCCTGACCCACAAATACCTCCTACAGGGAGATGAGAAGCCGTTCTGTGTCGGATGCGACACAGATTTTATCATTAGACACATCTTAATAGAATGTCTAGACTTTGGAGAGATCCGAAGGAAATATTATAAATGCAAGAAATTACAAGATATTTATCCCGTCGTTGGTCCCAGCAAAATTTTGAATTTTATGAAGGACATTGGCCCTTGTGGCAAATTGTAAAATGAAAACGTACTATTTAAAAATTGTATTGTTACTTAAAAGATTTGTTTTAAATCACAAATATATTTACACTGAATTTAAATATTTTAACATTTTAGCATTTTAAAGTCAATTAGTTAACCAATCGTGGAGTGGACTTTTGCGAGAGTAAACAACTTGTGTTTCGCGCGCTCATATGACCTTAGCAGTTGCGAGCGCCGTAAAACCCTATACTACTACTACTACTACAACTGTTGCATAACATTTTTTGGTGAATCATGCCCCCCCCCCCCCCCCCAACAAAACGGTTTGGGCCCTTTTCCCCCCCCCCCCCCCCCCCCTCTCTCTCTCTCTCTCTCTCTCTCACTCACTCTCACTATATCTCTCTCATTATATCTCTATGTCTGTGTGTTTCTTAAACTCGTTCACACACATTCACACACACACACACACACACACACACACACACACACACACACACACACACACGCACACACACACTCTCTCACACACATACACACACACACACAATTTGTACCTACATGGAAAAGATGAATAAGAGTTGATGACAAAACTAAGTTTTTAACATGTAAACTTTTCTCATAGAAAACAACTTCGAGTCTCTTTTTTTTCAGAAGTCTAGAAGAGTTTTTTTTTGCATTATGTGTTTTTATTTGTTTATGTACCGCGAGGATGCAATACCGATAAATACAGAAGAATCGGAGATAAGCCGATACAAATTAATGTAGGCTACTACTGTTAGATTCAGACTGAATCGAGAGTTCGTCGAGTCACGAGGCACTTTTTTTTTCTAACAGCAGGGGCACCAAGTTAGAATAGTGTACGGTCCTGATATGTTGCTGAACACACATCGTTCTTATATATAGAGAGAGAGATATAGATATCACATGAAGTATCCCACTGTCCACTCCGAGTCGTTCATTAACTCAGGATCACTGGACACCAGAACACATTCACACTGACCCGTCTTTTCCCGGAACTACGAGATGGTAAATCCAGTAAATGCACGCTGCTCTTTCTCTTTCGAACAAGTAGCTGCGCAATCGAGCAGACTTCTCAAGCCGGACTTGAAGATAAAGGGTGATTGCAAACTTTTCATTCTCCTTTTGATATTCAGATAGTGCATACCTGCTGGCCGGTTTTCGCCAGCTTCTGCAGCAGCCTCCGCTAGTACCTCTAGTTCGCACATAACCAGTGGTCCGAAGCCGAATTTGTATACTGTGACATACCTGCCGGTGACGGGGCTACTGCATGACAGTAATTCTGTTGTGGAAGCCGCAATCACCAACTGCCGGTGCAAGCACAGCTCCCCCAGACGGCTTTCCTTCGGGAATTCCGAATCACTCATAGGGTTATCCCTTTTCACGTACACAGAAAAGTTTTGCATTCTTTCGGAGTAGACGTTTCTGTTTGATATGTTGATGGCGTGTACCTGAAACTGCTTTTGTAGGTCCACCATCCACCAGGCTGGCACTTTTTGGGCTCCTTTCAGTGTTGTATGGGCACAAGATCCATGTTTGTACTCGGGGTCTTTATCCCCATCAACCGCCCGGAAGGCCGAGCCATTAGGAAACTTGGCATTTTCCAGCAATCCGCTCTGTTCGGCAGGCTTGTTTAAAGCTACGTTAACCCGATTGTTGACAGATAACACGCAGCTGAGAAAACAGAAAACTAGAATCCCTGTAACATGCACCTTATTAAAACAGATTGGTTTCCAGGTCATCCTGTTGAAATAAACCTGAGTCTCAACATAGAGCACTTATTTTTGTGTGTGTAAAGCTGAATATTATTTAAAATGTACTTTCGCTGAAATTGACTGTCCTCGTTATTCTTTTTTCATAATGATTACAATTCACAGACACAAGAATAGTTTGAGCAACCTGGCTGTCTTTTCCCAACGAAGACAGTCAACTGGTAGAGTCGATGAGACGATTGCATGTGGTTTCTTGAAAAAAAAATGTTCCTGAAATAATAGAATAGGAAGCGTTAAAACACGTTTACTTTTATTTCCATCTGCTGGTCTTGAAATTTTACTCAGCATTCAAATTTATGAGTCAATTATTATGTTCTTGGATGCCCTAACTATTTTATGTAGTAATATAGGCCTATTTCATTGATGGTGAATTTCGTTTGCGTTAAAAGAAGCCCATCGACACAATAATGGATATTTAGTGCTCGGAAATTGGAAGAATAAGCGACAGTCAAATAGATCTACAACAGAGGGAAAGTTAAGAAGTAGGACCTACCAGCGGCGCCCTCCAACCACTCGCTTTGGACAAAGTTCACGAACTCATGGAAGTATGAACATAGTGTTTTGTGTATAAAATGTACATGTACATGTAGGGCCTACCGGTTCCTGGTTGTTTTTTTTCACACACGACTTGCACTCGCAATTTTAAGGGGTGGCGGGGCACCTAAAAGTGGTGGGTTTTTTTGGTGAAATTATGAAAACTGGGATTATCACTTATTATAACTTCCGGATATTTCCTGAACAATGTCCGAAAATGTATGTCAGCGTTTCTGTGGTGTTTGAAGGGATTTTAGAGCTAAGTAACTGCCACTTTTTGTGTCAAAAAGCATGTTTTCCACCGCTTATATCATGCTTCAGTTTTAGCAAGAAACCTCCGTTCTGTCTCTTCTGTGTTAATATTATCAAGTAGTTGCCACGTTTTAGTTCGACATATGTTTTAAAACTTGTCTGACCTTCATCGGGCGTTTTCTCAAAATGTTATTCTTGCCACACTTCATCCCATTTTTTCTGCTCTTTTTCTTATTCGATTTGAATGTAACTTTCACAGAATGTTAATGACACTTAATTCTAAAAATTGTCTTGAGGAATTTTGTATTTCTTTTGATTTTGATAAATGACCTCAGAAAGTTTGATTTTTCGGGGAGGGGGGGGGGGGGGGGGCGGGGTGTTCACAGTTAGGCAATAAGCCGATTTTTAAGTGCCATGAAATGAACACTAAATACCCAAAATTTCTCAAGACAATTTTTACATCCGTACCTTTTCTACCCATGCCAAATTAAAAGTGTATTTAATGTATTGATAAACACGTTAATAAAACGGGATCAAAATAGGTCAACAAAATCTAATGTGGCTGCCGTAGTAACCGAATCATATTTACTTTTTTAACATTATATTTTAAATCCCTTATGATACACAGCAAATACGGGCTCTCTAGGGTTTGTGATAGCAGAAATAGCCTTCAGGTATCCACCACCTCTTAAAGAAAATCGCGAATTCAAGTTGTTCACGTAATCAGAAAGAGGTACTGCGTTGGAACACATGACACTTGGCAACCTCTTTGGACAACCGTTATCGCGAATACAAAACGTTCGCGAAAAATGAAATGGGCAAAAACACGAAAAAAAGAGTGCACTTTAAAAAGATCCGGTGTACGGTACAATATTTAGGACTACTCGTTGAAAGTTTGAACCTAAAAGGGATCCGGGTTTATATCTTCTGCCTGGAGTACTCCTTTATTTTACCAGATACTGTGTATTGAGAGGAAATCCAGTGCTTCATTCGCCATGTAAGTCTAAGTGACAAATGTGTACATGCATTAATTGGTTACTATTTGATAGGAGACAAAAATGACCAACATTGAGTCGATAGTGCCGTAAAACACCTACTCAATCAATTTTTTTAAAACCAACAGAAGATAATGGTCGTGAGAACCAACAAAATTATCAACAAGGTTCTGCCTATCCATCTAAAAGTACAATCTTTCACTTATGGTGAGATGATGACAAACGGAATATACGTCGATAGAAAATAATATGAGAGTGGATTGTGGATTTTATCAGGAGCTGAAGATAGGAAACGAAAATCTCCCCCAAAAAGAACAACCAACATGCCTAAGAGTCAAACTTGACCATAGTCTAACCATAAAAACCAAGTGGAGAACAAAACGAACAAGGCGAAAAAAAGACTCCAACTTTTAAAGAAACTCGCAAGCAGTTCATGTGGATCAGAGAAACAAACTCTGAGAGTCATATACATGTACCTTTGTTTTGTTCGATCTTCCCTGGGATTCTTTCAAGGGAGTGCTTATTTAGGCCACATATGGCCTAAATAAGGTAAGGGAGGGGGGTTTAGCTTATTTGGGCCTCAGTGTGGCCTAAATAAGGTAAGGGAGGGGGGTTTAGCTTATTTAGGCCACACATGCTCAAACTACCGAGGGACACCCTTTTCAGGCAACTGAGTTCGTTCCACTTTCATAATGGTGCACCCTT